GAGATCATAAAGATGTTCTTCTATGTTGTCTTCTCAAAGATTTTTATTTTTAGGTCTATCGTCAACATGGAGTTAATTTTTACGCATACTGTGACATAGCCCACATTTATTTTATTTTCCGAATGAATACCCAATTTTCCCCAAACTTCTGAATAAAAAGAATTTCCTTTTCCCACGACTGCCTTTGTCATAGGTCCAGTGTTTATATATTTATGGGTCTGATTCTAGGTTTCTGTTTTATTTCATCTATTCTACACTTGCCTATACCAGTGCCAATTCCACGGCCAAATTACTTTGGCTATACAATAACCCTTGATTGTTTGGAAATCTTGTCTTTTCAAAATATATTTTTATTGATTTCAGAGAAGGGAAGGGAGAGGAAGAAATATCAATGATAAGAGAATCACTGATCAGCTGCCTCCAGCATGCCCCACACTGGGGATCAAGCCCACAACCCGGGCATGTGCCTGACTGGGAATCGAACCCTGACCTCCTGGTTCATAGGTCAATGCTCAACCACTGAGCCACACCTTCCAGGCTACATGCATTGCTTTCTTCTAGAACAGTGGTTCTCAACCTTTCCAATGCCTCGACTCTTCAATACAGTTCCTCATGTTGTGGTGACCCCCAACCATAAAATTATTTTCATTGCTACTTCATAACTGTATTTTTGCTACTGTTATGAATCGTAATGTAAATATCTGATATGCAGGATGTATCTTCATTGTTATAAACTAAACATATTTAAAGCATAGTGATTAATCACAAAAACAACATGTAATTATATATGTGTTTTCTGATGGTCTTAGGCGACCCTTGTGAAAGGGTCGTTCGACCCTCCAAAGGGGTCGCGACCCACAGGTTGAGAACAGCTGTTCTAGAAGATCAACAGGTATTGTAGAAACCAGCTTCCAATATGGCCCCAATGATCCCTACACCTCCAGGTATTCACAGCCCTGGTATTCACCATGTACCATGGTTGGTCTGTGTGATCACAAGAAAACAGCATAAGTGATGGTACCCCACTTCCAATACTAGGTTATAAAAGACATTGTAGCTTCTGTTTTGGTCTTTTGCTCCCTGTTGGATCACTCCTTCTGAAGGAAGCCAGTTACCATGAAAGGGGCAAGGCAGCTTGACTGGGCCCACAAACAACCACGAGTGAACTTGGAAGTTGATTTTCTAGCCCCCAGTTAAGACTAGAAATGACTACAGACCCAGACAACAGCATGACTGCAGCTTCCTAAGAGACTCTAAGCCAGAACTACCCAGCCAAACTGCACACAGATTACTGACCCTCAGAAATAGTAAGATAGTAAATGTTTGCTGGTTTAAAGTGGTAAGTTTTGGGATAATCTGTTAGACAGCAAGAGATACCTAATCCAAGTATTATGTGGGGTGTGGGATTTATATGCCTCGTTTTCTTTGTACTTCTCTGTATTTTTTAAAGCTAATAAATGTTATTTTAAAATTGTTGTGAATGCTTCTGATGGTACCTCCCATTGAAAAATGACACAATATTACTTACTTGGAACTCTTATCTGGTAGTGATTAAGTGCTGTAAGGGCTTCTACTGCATCAGTTTTGCATTCCCATTCTAAGAGCCCAGAAAGGGTTTTGGCAGAAGCTAAAACAAAGAATCACAAATCCAGTTGTTTGTTTGTCATCAACTTAACCAGAAAAATTAAAAGGAGAGAGTGTGCACTTACGTTTTGCATCGAACACTTTATATTTGATGAATGTAAGAACTTCATGGTCATTACATAACTGTTAAAGAAATATAAAACTCCATTAAAAATACAGCCAAAATAATATTTCTACCTTTTCTAAGAAAGTAAACTTTATGGTAGCATATAAGTTTTGATCCTGTCATGAATGAAGTCATGTATGTTTTTAGATTAAAAAGTTATATGAGAAAAATCAAAAATAGTGATAGTCTACAACTAGGTACATTTAGTGCTGTACAATAAAACCACAGATTTGTAACTGAAATATATATTCTCAGAGTAGACCAGGATTTACTGTTTGACCAATAGGAGTGGAGTTCCAGAAAATCAATTATCTTCTGAAGCATTTCCTACAGTTAGGGGAAAAGGCAGGGACATGTAAAATTTTGTTTTGTTTTGATAAGCACCGTGCTAGTTATTCCACAGTGAACATAACAGATGTGGTCTTTTTTTTTTTTAATTTATTTTATTGATTTTTTACAGAGAGGAAGGGAGAGGGATAGAGAGTTAGAAACATCAATGAGAGAGAAACACCAATCAGCCGCTTCCTGCACACTCCCCACTGGGGATGTGCCCGCAACCAAGGTACATGCCCTTGACCGGAATCGAACCCGGGACCCTTGAGTCCACAGGCCGACACTCTATCCACTGAGCCAAACCGGTCAGGGCAGATGTGGTCTTCTTGAAGTGTAAGAATTAAGAACACAGTAAGAAAACTTTCCAAATGCAGGAATAAGGGTGTATCATTCTAATTCCAACTCTCAAAAAGACTGCGCCACAAACCAAAACAAGAACAATGATGAATGGAGGCCAGAAAAGTTTAATGGCCAAGGAATAAACTATATAAATAAAGTAACAAACAAACAACAGAATACTATCAAAAGTAGACGAGCAGAACAAGACTTTAAAATGAGGATAACATATGACATTTTAAAAAAGAAAAGAGGGACATTTTATACAATTTGTATTTCAGTGCCCACCTTTGTGAAGGTCTCTTCTGTGACACACAGTGGAACGTTATAATAATGCAGCACACACGAGGGCGGCTGGATTATATTCTTAGATGCTTGGCCAGCACTTGTAAAGCGATTATTCTTGCTCATTGCAAAATCCTTGTAGCTACTCGTACCATCCTCCAGCTCAAATATTTGACTTGGAACAACTGAATGTTGTTTAGACACACTGAAGATTGGAAAGAAACCAGTACAGAACATGTATCTTGTTAGAAAAAAGCAGCAAGTAGGCAGTCTCAAAATGTTAACATACAGCCCTCCATCAACCTTAACAAAAAAGCACACATAGCTATTTAAACAGTTTAAATATTTAATATTTTGAACACGTACTTAGATATTTAATTTTAGTTAAATCACTCTTATATGTTAGACATTAAAGAAAAAAATCTATTGAATATGTTCTTATATTGGAAAACTTTAATATAAAAGGTGCCCACTTAAACATGCTGTTTTATGATCATAAAACTAAAAACCAGACGTAGGTAAGCAAAATCTGAATTACATGATCCTAAAACTTTGTCTAAAATAACAACACTGTAGGTGCTAGTTTCACATGTGCCCTCAGTTACACTAACATATTCTGAAATTGAAATTATGTCTTTAATAAAAAAGAATTTTAAAATTTACCACTTAAGATATTTACCAAACATTAAGTCTTTTCCCAAATAATTTGACATTGTTAAGGTGTGTGACAGCTCTTTCCACAGCATATTCATCACCCATTTCTACCAGTGCTGTACCAGGAATGGTCTTCATGAATTTTACCTGTAGATACAAAATCCCATAAACATGACCATTTAATTCCCTTTTATAGTAACAGAAATTTCTAAAAGATAATATGGTTTAAGTGGTTGATGAAAAAAACAGAATATCACCTGGAATCTTCAACTTTTATTCTGATATATTATTACTAGACACTTTTAACTCATATCAAAATTCAATAAAATTTTTTTAAAGAGACTGTAATTATATTGTATAACACATGGAAGAAGAGCACAGGCTTACCCTGGGCTCTGTTATTTATCAATTGTGTAACCTACACCAATTACTTCACTTCTCTGAGCTTTAAACTTCCCTATAAGATGGAGATAATAATACCTGAGAGGATTCAACATTTTTTCATTCAACAAATATTTATTAAATGCCCAAAATGCTTTGATAAGCACTGTGCTAGGCTCTGCCCAGTGAACATAACAGACCATGTCTTCTTGAAGTTTATATGCTAGTAGGTAAGTCAGAAATTTAAAAGTAATAATTACCAAATATCCAGAGAGCTATTGCAGTGATATACAAAATCCTATATCAGAAATAATACAAGATGGCCTCGAGACACCATTTCCAGTAAAAGGCTTGTGCAAGGCAGAGACAGTTTAAAAAATAGGCAATACTTCACAAGTTTTCATTAATATCTTGGGCAGAGGCCACATTATCCTCTTACATCATTCCAATTTTAGTGTAAATGCCGTAAGGCTTCGATGAGATAAAGTATGAAAATCACTCGACATAGTGATTTTCCTACGTCTTGGAAAGTCTGTAAACAGCTATTAAGTGCCACTAACATCCATGACATCTTGAACATGCTTCCTTATCAGTTAACCTCAAAGGAATATTGTCAATGTACTTACACAACAAATGCAACATAGCATTCATATTCACATCACAACTTTCAATGGGCTATCCTAGCATTTTTATACTACACCTATACTTGAACAAAATTCAGCTGTAGCAAAACATTTCAGTTTCATTTGTCTTCTTATGGGCAAAATTTTTCTCCATTGATTAAATCCAATAACATCTACAAATCTAGTAGTAAGTAAATACATATGTGAAGTATATAGTTCTTGTGCTGGTAAATCTTTAAAAGAAGTTAGGCAAAATTAACTATATAGAGATATTTTAAGAATATGATGGCTTCAGTTTAATGTATCATACTGTATCATTTAAAATGTTTTATAATTATTGATATGTGGAGTGAGAGACTAGAATTGTTCAAATAACATATAGAAAACTTGTTTTATTAGACAAAGTGATTTGGGTTTTAAATCATACGATAATCCTATCCCATCCTATATAATAAAAGCCTAATATGCTAAGTGTCCAGTTGACCAGTCAGCCATTCAACCAATCAAAACGTAATATGCTAATGACATGCTAAGGCTGCTCAACTGCTTGCTATGATGTGCACTGACCACCAGGGGGCAGATGCTCTGACTGGTAGGTTAGTTTGCTGCTGGGGTCCAACCGACAGGGACTGAGTGAGACAGGATCAACATACCCTGGAGCCCTCCCACAGTCCCTCTCCAGCTGGCCAACCTCCCGTGTACCTCCCCAGCCCCAATCGTGCACCAGTGGGGGTCCCTCGGCCTGGCCTGTGCCCTCTCACAATCTGGGACCCCTTGGGGGATGTCAGAGAGCCAGTTTAGGCCCAATCCCACAGGCCAGGCTGAGGGACCCCACTGGTGCACGAATTTGTGCATGAGGCCTCTAGTCAGTTTATAACATAAAAGACAAAGATCTACTAAAGATGTTGATTAAACTGACTCATTATCTACCAATGTGAAAAGCACAAAAAGAAAAGTAATACTATGTAAAGAAGGTTAAAATACCCATTAGCCCATTTAGTTACCAAGCATGAGGCTCCTAGACCTTACTAAACACCCAGGTGTCTAAGATAAATGTCTGTATGAAAAAAATCTGAACTATTTTTCCCAATGTTGCTATATCTGCCCCATGTAGTCTTAGCTAGTTATAATAAGTAGAAATATTCTATATGTATACCCCCTACACCAAATGTGGATTTTATTTATTTTTTTTTTAAATGTCAAATAGTTATGTTGAGGAAATTATTTCAGAGATTTTTCCAAGTTCCTTTCTCAAATCAGGGAAGTTTTAGAATAAAAGTAAGAACTAAGAGTACCAAGAAACTCGCGTACTTATACTTTTTTGTTGTGAAAAGAACATTAAAAATCACATAAAATAACAGAGAAAGCATCATTACCACAATATTGAAACTCAAATTAGCAAGTGATTCAAACAACTAGTAACTTAAGACTACCAATCATTTTCCCAGTTAAATTTCCCACAATTCTTTCAAAAATAGTTTAACATCTGCTTTGTGACAGGGAATATCCTAAGTATTTCTAAGATTATCAATGAATAAAACATCACAGACCTAGGGGAACCACAGAGTTAGTTATCTGGTGAAAATAAACTTAAAATTTTAAAGATCTTCAAAATATGTTTAATTTAAATGTTTTGCTCCTTTTGGAGTATAAGCCTCCAAACAGAAAGTTCTGGACACATTCTATCAAAGTGGGTCTAAAAGTACACTGTTCCTCAGAAGATATAAGAACTCTAGCACTTGGGAGGCAAGTATATAAATCTAGACTTGTGGCTAAGTCTGAGACATATTTATGTATGGTCCTTCTAAATTCCACAGTTCAACATGCTAAATGCTAAATCTCTTTGAAATTATAAAATAAGACTTATGCCTATAATGCTCCAGTAATTGATTAAACTGTTTTAGACTTCTATTTATATTATTTTAAAAAATAGTTTTAGTAGCAACAACCTATACTGATCACTTACCTACAAAAATAATTTTTGGAGTTCCTACCTAATGGATTTTTAGCTCATGTGGGTCATTACTAAAATAACTTGAATGTTCCTAACTCAAAGAGAAAACATATATAGGATATCCTCCCAAAATGTATACACACATTTTGAATAATTACAAAGGCAGTGTTTATCAAAATACATCTCATTTTCAAAACTGAGCTATCAGCTGTTAAAGTGTATATACATTTTTTAGGACACCCTGTATTTGCTGCCTTTTCAGATTTTCTTACTAGATTATCTTAGCAAAAAAAAATGTAATAAAGAAACTTACCTTTTCAATATTTCCATATAAGCAGAATAGGTTGAACACTCTTGAACAATTCATTTTTAGCGGATGTAATCCACTAACCATCACAACCGAACCAGAGGGATTTCCTCCATGCATGTAAGAGGAAGAAGCCTGCGGTAATGGGTATGCAACAAGCTCAGGTGTATCTCGAGAGCCCATTCTGTAACGACTCGGTAAAGGCAACAACGGACCATGCGATCCTATAAAAATGACCAAAAAGAAAGGAAGGAAATAAGGAAGGAGGGAAGAGGAGAGAGAGAGAGAGAGAGAGAGAAGAGGAGAGAAAAAAAAAGAGAGAAAGAGAGAGAGAGAGAGAGAGAGAGAGAAGAAAAAGAGCAAGAAAGGAAAAAGAAAGAAAGAAAGAAAGAAAGAAAGAAAGAAAGAAAGAAAGAAAGAAAGAAAGAAAGGAAGAAAGAAAGACAACTTTAGCAAATGCAATATACCACGCAAAAAAATAAGCTCTTACTATAACTAGACTGACGTATGGCCAAAGAAAACTCAGATGTGTGAATGTTCAAATATAACCTGTGTGAATTAATAACATTTACATTTGTACCAGATCCCATATACATAGGCCTGCATGTATCTGCATACAACAGGTTTTGTGTTTCTGTATTTTAAAAAAATAGTAGTTTAGCCCCCCAAAAAAGTATATAAGTTCAGGCCACAGATAGGGAGGGGGAAATCAGAGTAAATCTTTGGGCCACTGTATATACATTATACCTCAAGTTTTTAAAAAAATCCCTTCTGCCAATGTCTTTTAGAGGATAATAAAATAACACATACAGTGAAATCTAGAAAACTATATACAGATATAACAAAAAAAACATCTTTGGTTCTCCTTTAAATATAATTTACTATAATGTACTTTCAGGTGAGTATTTTATTCTACTACTAATTTATTTAATATCACACCTATTCAGACCCATTTTTTGCAACAACATCAAGAACCAGAAGAAAATGCCTGAGTACCTGAACCTGTTGTCACAGAAACACAAAAATCTACATCTCTTATACTGCAAATCCTTAAGAATTCACCTGCTAACTTCAGAGTAGTTCTAAACAACTTCATTTGTTTTTCCCATCCACAACAGATCGGAAGTAACAAGAAAAATAAAGCTCGAGTGAGTGAAATAGACAGGAATCAGGGAGTCTGGAGAAAGTTCTTACAGCATAAGAACTCAGAATGGGGCAACTAAGCTGAAGATAAATAGCTCAGAAATACACCTAAAGAGCTCCTGAGATAGTGATTATAAAAGCACATTCTTGAAACATGCAAAGGTCCTCCTGATGGGCAAGAAACCAATTCAAAATCCCAAGTCCTTTCCTCGTTTATCAAAAGTGAAGAGTATATAATGCTTCTGACTTTCATTTTTATGAGACTAAGGGACACTTGTCATCTACTGAGTTGCTAAGAGCTACTATATTCCAGTATAACAGCATGCTACTGAGCTTATGTGGACTCCAATTCAGTATTCAGTATTCTAAGTATAGCTGCCATTCATAACATAGCAACACCACCACTGGGCACATGCAAATGGTGTGAATTCCTGCAATTTTATAAAGCAGTGATTTTCAACTAGTGTGCCACAAGAGTTTTTAAAACATGCAATACTTGGCTCTAGTCAGGGACACTGACCTCTTTTCCCATAGATCATCAAATAAAAAAATGACAACAGCCAACATGACAATAACCTTCTGGTATAAATCAATCAAAATTATATCTTTTTGTCAGATCAGCAAAAAATATAATTTTGGTGTGCCGCAGAATTTTAGTAATTAATTTATATGCGCCATGAGATGAAAAAGGTTGAAAATCATTGTTATAGGAGAAAACTTATCAATGGATTGTCATCGGTGTTGCCTTAAGTTGGTCATGGTTTTCAACTGCTCTTCTGCTGCTAATTGGTAGTTTATCAAAACAATCAATATAGGTCGGGGTGAGTTACTTGTAACTATACGTATTTTGGCCTCTAATTTAAACTGTTATACATACACTGGGGTCATGTATCAATCATTATTATCCCTCTTAGAAAAGTGTGCATACATATTATATTGCACCCCACCACTTGCTTGTACAATAATGAGACTTTACTATTATCACTAAATTTTCTTTTCCATGGAAAGTGGCAAGATGTCTGGTAGATGGGCAGCAGAAACCTTCCACTCTACGTAAGCTGGCCAAAGTAAAAATCTTGGACATCTACTGTGTATGTAAAAATCAAATTCAGTGCAAGAGTATCACTTAAGTTTATAATTAGCCATCGGAATTAAATTATGTTACTTATAGAATTTAAATTGTTGCCTACATTGTTCAGGAAGATAAGAAAAACACAGAAGTCATTTAAAAGCTTTCTATCCTAACTAGTTCATGAAAAAAAGTTTGGTGCTTGAAAAACTAATGCTTCAGGTATTTAAAAATTCACTTATGTGAAAAAATGCTACATAATAAATAGGCATTATTAACATTTTGAAGGCATTTTCTATCTTTGATATTCTAAAATCTTTGGCCCAGGAACCACATCCAAAGGTACACAAGCTTTTCTTGGGGTCACCCCAAATAAATCTGTATGTTTATTTTTGCCACTTCTCAAGTATAAGGGCTTTTACCAGTTCACCTCATAGGCTGGGCTTCCCAAATTAAAAAGAGCTAAAGAATTCTGAAAGCACAGATTTAAACTGTTATAAAAATTAAATAACAAATTTAATCTAATTAAATAATTAAACCTCTTACATACCAACATGAAGGAAAAGCCACATGTGATATGGCACAAAAATGCAAATAAGCCTGTTTTGCGGAACTGCTAAATCTAAGGGATACAGCTGTGATTTGCAGGATTCCTAAAAACGTTCAGTATCACTAGCACCCACTCCCATCATCACCTTCCCCCAATTTCACATCTACTTCTCTGCCTCTTTATTCACCTCTCTCTCTCTTTCTCTTTCCCCCTCTCCCTCTCCTTCTCTCTCCTCCCATCCTACTCCCGGTCCCTCTCCCCTCCTATACCCTATTCTTCATACTTCTCTAGGAAAGTAGAATTATTCTCAGTTAAATATTTCAATGGACATAACTCAGAATGGATGCCCTACACAACCATTCCTCTTCAGCAGTGTTCTCCAGAGACTGAAAGATCCCTATTTAATAACCATCACCATTCCAAAGAATTTTGCACCTCATCTCTTTAAGTAAACTTGTGCTTTAAAATTTATACACACACACACACACACACACACACACACACACACTAAATAAATTAGGGTATGAAACTGACAGAATATTGTATACTAGGCTTTAAAAATATATATATAAAGTTCTTCTAGGGCATAAAACGTATTTTTATTTATACAATTTTTCAATAAGATAAATTTTATAAAGGAAGGAAAACCCGAAAACTCACACTGAGAAAAGTATGTGTCAACACTACTACAGTAGACTTCTTCGTCCTTCATTTATTCTTTCACAGATTTTTCTAGCCTGCTTTGCCAAACATTAACCAATTTTAACCTTCAGCTGACACCCATGGCACAGTTATCTATTCCACACCTCCACAAGAGACTTGTGGTCGGCAATTCTTTTGTAACCCTCCATTATGCAAAACACAGTGGGCTGCTAATAAGTGTTTCTTTACTGCAGGGTCAGAACTATCCCAACGACCACTGTTAACATTTACACTGTCAAAGAAACTAAGACAAATTATCAAGCAACACACTCACTAAACTGTCAGTCCGTAGTAAGGTTTTCATTCTACACACCACACTTACTATTTTGATATAGCATATTGTTTCAATGTCTTCTGCCATAAAGACTACTATAGAAACTTCAACAAACACAAACGTAATAAATTCCTGGAATTCAAAAAACCACCACAGGGAATAAGCTAAAATTCACAGCTAAGAATGGTCATCAAGCATGTAGGCAATTTGAAAATATTTCAGACAATAGCAACACCAGGGACTTTTCTATGATAAAGTAATTTCCACTTTCTATTCCAAATAGCACTGGACTTCAACCACAAAATAGGAGTCAATAAAAACTGAAAAATATTTAAAACCACAGAACTTATAACCAGTTAATCTTATCAACAGCAATTCTCAACATCTACTCACAAGAACAATAGCCTGAGAGCTCTCTTTCCTGAGGAAGAAGATTATTCTAGGCTTCATAATCTTAAACTTACCAACATAGCAAACATTAAAACCAAAGAATTTTCTTTTTTAAAAAAAAACTAAAGAAGTTTTAAAAGAGAAGTTAAATAAAACTAATTTAAAGCCAAAATACCAACTGTAGAACTAAAATAATTAAAGATCTAACCAGAAACATGTTTCCTTTTCAATAAATACCCTTCTTCCTGTCTTTCTTACTCAAAATTCCTTTGTTCATAATTGCTAGAAGAAAAATACAGTTTACTGAGCAATAATACTTCTTTTTGGTCCTCTAACAAAACCAGAGCCCATTACTAATCAAAATCAAGACAAAACAAAACAAGGTATAATGGTAAAAAATTAAAAATTAAAAAAACTTTCGAATGCCCAAATAGTAACTCTCATTTATCTCAAGAATTATATAACATATCAATATTCTAAAAAAAAAAAAAAGAAAGTAAGAAAAGATTTTGGACAACTCCTTGGGAGTACATTCTAAGGGTCCAATCCCATATAAACCAAGTCAAATAAGCAGGAAATATAGAAACAAGAAATGTGCCATTCGTCAGAAATGCAAAAATGCTAACAGTTCGTCTATACTACCTTCCTTCTGCCTTGACAAACTTACCATAGCCATCATGTCTAAACGAAGAAGGGTGTTCTCCCAAAATGGCTTGTCTCTGGCGACCCTTTCCTCTATCTGACACAAAAGTAGAAACATGGTTTTAACAATTTTGATCCAAGTACTTAACAGAGTTCTCACATGGGAAAACCCATTCAAAAACATCCATTACAATTCATAATAAAAGAAATATCATTCCTGGTTAACTTTAAACATCCATTATGTCCATTTTAAATACAAACACCAAAAGTTTAAGTACTTCTATCTAACAAACTCCACTTAACTTGAAAATTTTTTGGCAGATGCCAAATACAATCACACTTTCAAAATTAAGAAGAATGGATACTTTTCAGAAAGTGAATGTACACAATGCTAGAGTTTGACACTGTACAGAAGTTTTTACCAATACATGTCTTTAAAACAAGCTTTAAGTGCAGTACTTTTGAAAGACAGTACCTGAATCATACTATTAGCTTCAACAGCAACACATTTTCAAAGTGGGCTTCTTTCAAGAAGTTCAGCATAAGCCAACAACAACCTGTATTACATGGTTTCACAATCAGTAAACACAGAGTATTTTGTATGTATATACACATATTTACAAACACCTACAGACTTCAGAGCTGGAAATATGCACATCACTGGCCCAGATTATAGCATGGACTGGTCATTGTGTATAGATGTTAACACCAGGCAGGACTATGAGCACCCCCCAACGTTTAACCAAGGGGGCTACATTATTGGATGAGAATACTACAATACTCCTGAAGTATAATTTTTTATTTTAGCTACATCTTCAGGGAAGGCATGCCAATGTTCCCAAATCTAATTTGAGGTGTCAATAAAAAGTAAGTTTCTAAAATAGCACTTCCTATGGTTGGTTAGTAAATTTTAAAATTCATTGTACAATACTTTTAGAAAATTTGCTGATCAAATTATAGTCCCCGGTAAGATTTGTTTAAATGTATCTTAAGAGTTTGGTCATTCTAATCTTTGAAAATTCAAAGACAGAGAGGCTCTTTATATCATCATAGTCAACTAAACAAATGAGATTTATGGGAGATGAGAAATACTTTAATTTTCACCTCAGTCTAGAGAAATATCATTTTAATTACCTATTCCAAGTTATCACAAGCACTGATAGGGAACTAAGGTCATTTAGTTCAGTTTTTATTCAGTGTGTAAATTTTCTTTACATCGTCCCAATCAATTGGGACCATCTAGCCCAGGGGTGGAGAACGTCCAGCCCTCGGGCCACATACAGCCCTCAAAATCATTTGGTCTGTCTCTGCCAAAGCATTAGACGTGAGTTAATTAAATGTTTGACCAAATGTAGCAGGCTAATTTTTACGTTGATAATTCTATATGGCCCACGAATGATGTTATAAATATCCAAATGACCCTTGGCAGAGAAAAGGTTCCCTACCCCTGACTAACCTCTGCTTACCCAAACCAGTAACAAGATACTCATTACTTTCCCTTACATTTTCAGGAACCTAACTCATCAGGAAATTAATTTTTCTATTATATAGAAATTGGTCCTCTATCCATATTCTATCCCATTTGGGGCCTCAGATTCATTCTGTCTCCAAAAACCCTTCCAAGTGCTTCAAAGCTATGATCCTCCCACTCCATTTCCCCAAAGTCATTTCTTCTACAGACTAAACATTCATAGTTCCCTTTTTTCATTAAATCATTTAAGTCTCACTCCTCTTGAATCAATCCAATCTGCTAATACATTGTGCTAATGTGCCTCTATTTAAGCATGCCACCAACACTAAATACAAATCTAATCTAGAAATTTTCAACCAATATCAGCTTGTTTTCAGGGCTCCATTTTATTGAGATAGTTAATAGTGTGCTATAAAGGAAAGAGCAGTGGATTGAGAATCAGATCCCCACTTAACCACTAACTTGCAGTATAATCACAGAAACAATCTTCATTCATAAAATGAAGGAGTTAGGATAGGTATAATCTCCAAGTTGTCTTTCAGCCAAACATCCTCATTATTAATCATTCTCTTTATTTGAAGCATTCACTACCTAATATAAGGTCACAAAAAATAGAAGAAGTGTGCAGAAGAGTCATACACTGAACACATCAGTCTATAAACAGTGTTTGTAACCTTTCTTGGTTTCATCAGAAATCTGATGGAAGCTGTGGGCCTTCTCCCCAAAAAGATACATATATATAGACAAGTTTTGCTTAACATTTCAGAAGGGATTTTCTGGAGTCCAGGCTAAGAATTCTTTACACTGAAATGTAATTTGGGCTGAAAAGGACTTTAAAAATGAGATTCTATTTATAAAAGCGCTTTGTTTTGGTAGGAAAGTTACACTTCAATATCAACTTGAATAGAAGCTAGTCACTACAAAAAAAACTGCTATCGTCTTGCCAGACCACAAAAATTCTTTTCCCTTGAAAGCATAAACAACTAAAATTCTGTTTGACTTCAATTATACTTGACTATTTAAATATCTACCTTACACATTTCTAAACTTTTCTGACTGCAATTCCCTGCATGAAAAATTAATGTAAGCTGGCTTTGTATAAACCTTCAACCTTTTAAAAGAATCGATGTTAACACTATCAAAATAAGAAGCATGTCTATAAATGTTTTAAGAGACATTAAGAAAAATGTAACCAAAATCACTATTTCAAATAAGTAAAACAACAAACCCTAAGTGTTCAAGAACTGACTATAATTTGACAGAAGTGAGAGATTTCTCATCAACCACTTGTTCTGCTGTTTGAGTACTAAGACTTTGTTTCCAATACTGTATTCAGCTGCACCAAGCCTGTACCAAGCGGATTTCTGTGAGTAGTGAAAAATGTGGGGGTGCAGCCAAAGCTGCATTACAAAACAAATCTTTTTGTAACCCCATACATAAGGCAAGATAATTTCCTGAAAATTGAGAATTAAAGGGGCCAATCATCCAAAAGTCCTAAATATTTAAGGAGTCCAAGGACCACTGCATTGTATTTTTTCTTTGGGCAAGAGTACATACTCTATCATAGAGTCCCTACTGCCCAAGATGTTTTGGATGCCATAAAAATTTTTCCTTGTTTATTAAATTTACAGACATACTCATCTCGGTGAGTTTTCCCAACATATGGTTCAAATGCTGATATTGTAGTTGAGATGTAGCCAATATTGCAGCCCCCTTGTTTTTACAAGATCCACATTTTAATCTGTATATTCCAAAATTGCCACACACTTAGTTAACAAGTTTACCAGTAAAATCTATGCTCATGAAATCTAGCATTTGTAGATTATAGGTAAAAATGTATCTCAAATGAACTGCTCTTATATTCAGATTTATCAAGTTTAAAATATATTTTTCTACCTTGAACAGACATGTTACTTTCACCTACATTTGAAATGTCAAAATTTCTAGTTACACAAATTAACATGAGTGATAACCTTAAATTGTTACAAAAAGTAACAACTTATAAACAGCCACTTTACAAAAATCAAACCACACAGAAAATTGTCTTTTACATATCATGCACCTTTTCATTATATGATTCTATTCAGTGACCACACCGGAGGGGAAAAAACTTAAGTGCAGCAAGTGTGCACCTTTCTAATCCTTTTATCGTTAATATCTGTGTGGATTGGTTGAGCATTATCAATTCCCAAGACCTGTAGATAAACTGGCCCTGGTATTTGCCAATTAACAATTTGAATCTAAGCTGCAAACAGTTACAGTAATGGGCATTAATATTTACAACATTGTAGGTAACGTCTAGTATCCGTTAGTGTAAAATCTTAAATTCTACAACTGAAACCTTAAGGGAAATCAGACCAATATATACATACAACTTGAATACATGGGCACAGTCTATCATGGTGTTCATCCCATGCAAGTCTGAAGTACTGTTAAGTGTCCTCCTTTAAAAACTTGGGTGATGGTGCATGCAGTATGCAGTCAAGGTGAATTGCAAGTCTGAGTTTTTCAGAGGGCTTTTTGCTGATGCCGATGTTGTGCATGATGAAGTGTAGAGTCAGCCTGCTGGAGTCCTCTATCCTTCTTAATGCCTCGTCCAGCTTGGGGGGAAAGTCCTTTCCATAGAGAAGCAGTGTGCAAGTTTGAAGTTTGTAAGGAATATTCTGAATCAGTTTCCTCTCCTCCAAAGAGAGAGAGCTGCTTGGAGAAATGCAAGTCCTTGAACTGCGGGCGTGCTTGTATGTGTGGGCTCCTTTGTTGAACTAAATATAAATAACTCAGTACATACCAGTAGGGGGCACTAATGTTCAAGGTTATTTTCCAGCATTACATGGCCTTTTGCAACAAAAGCATTCACCAACATTTTCATTTGAATGAACTAGCTCATCTCAGGAAAAAGGAATCTAACTGCATGTAAAATTTTTCAGCAGATATAAGTATATTCTAAAATGCATAAAATACTTACCTCGTCTTCCCAAATATGGTTTAGTGTAGTCCCAACTGTCATTGTCATTCCTAATAACATTTAGACGAGTTGGCTGTTAAGATTAAAAAGAAAGTTCAAATTTAATATATAATACCAAAGCATAAATATTTCTTTGGTGAAGTGTTGAAAAAAATATTTACCCTTGCATATTCAATCTTTAGTGTGCAACATCCAGCATATATATCTGCTCCATTGAGTGCTGCTTTAGCTTTCTGGGCACAAAGGACTGATTCAAACATAAGCTCTATTAAGGAAATCTGGTTTAAGATGTCCAATAGTTAATCATTATCCAATCCCTAGAAAAGGACTTAAAAAATTAGAAATAACTCTTTCACTTCTAGAAATGTTTTACCAAATAAAATTTCTAGATGAATTTTAGTAGGAGAATTTAATTTTAATATCAAAGGTACCATTGTAGGGTACATAAGGGCCTAAGAACTATGTTGTACACCTGAAACTAGTATAACATTGTATGTCAACTGTAATTTAAAAATAAATTTTAAAAATAAATTAAAAAAGAAAAAAAGGATCAATGATATTAAAAGGAACATAATACAACCTACCTATCTACATATAAATCCTTCTAAGTTATCAGAAGTACTTTTTAAAATGGAGAGAAGGGAAAGGGGCATGGTCACATTCTCTAGCAAAAGAGAACTCGCTATCTCGAAATAGGCAATATTTTACTCTTAACATTATAAAGAACCAAAATAATACAAAACAAACATTTAATTTTTATATATTTCTGAAAAGGCAGGGTTTTATAATCATGTAACTATCTTCATTTTATTGTTTTTTAAAATTACGTAAGTCTATAATTTTTTTTAATCTATAATTCTTTCCAAAAAATAAAATCAGATCACAAAAATGTTAAGAAAAAAAAAAAACCTCTCCAGAAGCACCATTAAAGAGTTTGCTATAAAGCCCTAACTTTCTCTATGCATATGTTAGGGTTTTTTTTAAATTTTTTTTAAATGGGATTGTACTTTATGTACTATTTTACAACTTGCTCTTTTTATTCAACATATAACAAATTTAACAAAAAAAATAGTTCTTACATAAACTATGACCATCTAAGATTCAATAAAGAAAAGTAAGAAAGGTTCTACTGATTCTAAAATTTTGGTATTTCCAAACGACCTATTTTAAGAAGAGCTTCAGAAAAGTTTATTCAAGATAAATTTTAAAAGGTAAAAGTGTATATATTATCAGTTATTTTTTCCCTACTAAAAAGGCAAAGCACTGGATTGTTTCATGGTAGCAAGCAAAATTCCCTATGGGTGTGGAAGTTTCATTTTTTAAATCTAAGAAAAAGAGATTGAGAGGGAATAAACACCATTTGCCTAGAAATGATTACATAGGAAAAAATAAGGTCTATGTTACACAGCATTCACACATATCAATAAAAAAATTATAAATAAAGGATATTCCACCATTGCTTGTATCCCATTTCTCTTGAATATAACAATACGTTGCACTTTTCCAACAGGGTTGCATACAGTATATAAAACATCCTAAGAAGGAAAGGAAAAGATTTCTTCACATTTTGTATTTGGAAAAACATTAAAGCTATACACTGATTTCCTTTACTTAAAAAACTAGCCGAACCGGTTTGGCTCAGTGGATAAAGCATCGGCCTGCGGACTCAAGGGTCCCGGGGTTGATTCCGGTCAAGGGCATGTGCCCTGGTTTCGGGCACATCCCCAGTGGGGGGTGTGCAGGAGGCAGCTGATCGATCTCTCGCATCGATGTTTCTAACTCTCTATCCCTCTCCCTTCTTCTCTGTAAAAAAAAAATCAATAAAATATATTAAAAAAAAAACTAACAAGGGTGGAGACAGGCTGGGAGACGACAATGGGGGGGGGGGGACATATGTAATACTTTCAACAATAAAGAATTTTTAAAAACTATCAAGATATCACTTCTATTAATTACTAATTAAACTTTAAAAATTGTTATACTTTAATAAATCTAAAGTTACTTCCTCACCTACGCAATATACCCGCACATTAGAGAAGTTCCAATGAAACACATTTGAACTTAACCTATTTGATCTCTAAATAAATCCTCAATTTTTATTTTCTAAATAGGTGACTAAAATGCTGGCTATACACAATTAATACCAAAACTATAATCAATTAACTTATTTTTTCCAAATATCACCAAGAAATGTTTCATATTACAATACTGAATTACAGTAATAAATACTTATTAAGTGGTAGTAGAATAGCTCAGTATCCATTTTTCAAGGAACAATGGCTATTCAGAAAAGACACAGGGAAGATTATTTATACAGTGTTAGATGGCATCGAACAAGATGCCTGAATCATCTAAGAGAGAACTTAAACACCTTCTTAGGAATAATTCTTCAACTTTCAAGAATTACCATTAGGTTCTAGGGATACAACAATAAACAAATCAGAGTACTTGTACTAGATTACGTTATATTCTTTTTTCCAAAACACCAACTACTGCAAATATATTAGCACTATTAAGCCTATAAATATTATAAAGATAAATGTCTAATTAAAGTTAAAGCATAAAATACGATTTAAATTTATGTCCCAATATCATATACCCTTAATAGAAATGGTACAAATTAAATAAATAAGGCCGGTTTTTAACAGGTTTATCAAAAAACCGTATAATAATGGCATATGCATCTTACAATATACTATGGGAGTCTGTCATTACCTAGTAGATGCTTGTGAAACATGTGCTGGCATGAGTGAGAGAGAGAATTCTCAGATCATTTCCAAGTCTGTCGAATTTCTTATTAGAAACAGTTAACACTGACGCTTTAATGTTCTTACCTAATTTTGACAACTGTGCTTCTGACCTTTTTAGCACCAGTGCTCACCACTTCTTTGTTCATTAAGCTTAATAGTCAAAATTAATTTAATAATTCTAAAGACAACCACTATTTTTAAATATTTAGATGGCAGTAAAGAAAACTATGTTAGTCGTTCTAACGGAAACTTAGTGTGGCATATTAAAAATCCATACCACTGTAATTGGATAAAGAGGATTCTGAATTGATAATAGAAGAACTTTGTTGCCTCCTGATGGATCATCAGTATTTCCTGGCCGAGTGATCCTTTTGCTTGTAGAATAGTTGAAAAAAGCCTGTTGACCAGCAATGTACACAGGTTCATCCGCAGCAAATGTCACACATTCTTTGGCACTATCTATGTTCTCAAATTCCACGAGAGCCTGCCGTTTAAATGGCATCATCATCACATAGCTGGAAAGAGATTGGGAGGGAATACCCAAACACAGTAAGTTCAATTAACATTATTTGTTTTCAATCAAGTAAAAGCAGACTTTAATAAATTACTATCTACTGATTTTTCCAAAGAACTGCACACACTTATAACTAACTATACTTTCATTTATCTTACTAAAAACAGAGAACAGATAAAAAAAAAATGGCAAACTGACCAAATTTCTTCCCTAACTCTCACCCAAAGTATTTTTAAATATTAAAGAATGTGAAAAGATATTTATTAGAATATCACACATATTTTAAGAATACACTTAAACTGCCACATTATTTTTTTTTTAATCTTTAAAAAGCATTAATATGAGGAAGATTGAAAGACCAGAGAGAGAAAAAAATAACCAAAATAGCTAAGGGACATAGTGGGTTCTTTCAACTTACATGTTTCAACTCAAGACATGTTTACTAAATTTTAAATGAAAACAGGGAGAGGCAGAAGATTTACTATACAAATTAGATCTCAAAAGTTCTGTTACAAAATTTTAAATTGATCACTATCTAGCATCCTCTCCTTTAATGGGAGTGGGGAAGGGAGAAAGAGATACTCAGCATATATTTTTAAATATTCTTTTGATTATAATACACAAATACACTATAAAATAAAGACAAAAATATAGCAATTTTATTATCCTGACATAATCATTCTCAACATCTTGTTATAGTTTCTCTTGAACTTCCTTCCTCTGCATCTAACTTTTAGGTATAAACTTAGCAAATACTGAACTTGATGATTCACCCTTTTAATATGAGCAGTTTCTGTATAATCTTTATAATTATACATCACAAAATAAACAAATAGGAAAAGGTTCTATAAATACATTTTGAAACAAAACACCTGCTTTTCACTGGAGACTATTCGAGGTTCCTTCAGCTTTAATAGCAGTTACTTATTCAATATCATTTCGTACAATTGAAACTCCTATTATTCATATTTATGTCAATTAAGCTCTTAATTATACACTAATTTGTTCCAATTATTTCACAGCTTTTCTATCCACATAACTACCAATCTTGAGGGCAGAACAATGTACTATGCACATTAAGTGAATAAAAATCATACATGGAACACTTTACCATGGACAAAGTATCAAACAGTACAGAGTCTGGAAAAGAACAGGCTACCCAAAAGTAACTCAAATTACTGACCAACTTAAACACATAGTTCTATTTCTTTAATCCCAACATTCAGGTCATGGTCATAAATAACATAAAAGTTTCCATCTATATTTTTCCATCAACTTGTTTTTCCCACATAGCTTTAGTATTTCTTAGCTATAAGAAAATAACTGTAAAAGCCCTAAATATATAAGAACAGAAGAAAAATAAACCAGAAATAACCATCTCTTTGTAAGTCCATGGGACAATGCACCACTTAGAAGGTCCTTATGGTGAATGGAGTTAGTCTGGTGCCAACACCCACGCCTAAAAAAGGTCAAAGGAGTCTGCTTCAATACCTAACTCTCCAGACAGACCATCTTCCAAGATCCACTCCGTATGACTAAGAAGTGATATGGTAACCTTAGTAATAATTCATAAACGGGCTTTCCTATGCCCATGTGAATTCCCAATTTGTACCTCCGAGGATAAACATTATGTGTGTTGGTGATTTCTGAGGTATGTAAGTGAGGATAACAGGTTTGCCGAGTTATCTACCTCTCAATGAAGTCACCAAAGAAATTAATATAAAAGATGTCATGATAGAAGTTATCACCTAAAACTACTACTCCTTTGAAGCAATTATTCCTTTCTGTTGGATATCTCTAATCACTCCCTCACTATCTATTTATGTATTATCCTTTCAATACTCAAAAACTCCATATAAATATTTATAAAATTGAAGCAATCAAACCATCTCAGCAAATATATTGAAATGTCTCTCCTGTTTATATATTTTGACTTAGTCTGTGTCACTGAGGCCTACAACAAAACTCCAAACATATTCATCAAGGAAAAAAATAATAAAAATCAACTCTAGATTATCCATGCTAAGTAGAGAGCAGTAACCAAACATACTCCAAAAATAATTTAGGAAGAATTTTTAAGTGTCTACTTTTGGTAGCAGTTTCACTTTTCTAATTATGTTTTCACTTAAGTCAATATTCATAAGCACACACCAGCTGTGTGAATATGGAAGACAAGCTAGGATAAAACACTGACTGCTCATGACCTGCAAAAGAAGAACTCAACACAACATGTAACTAAGCAAATAATGCCTACCTTTCATCTACACACTTTTAGTTGCCAGTTCCTAAATATTCCAAAATAATTTTCTAATCAGTATTTAAGCCCTGGCCAATGATGCCAAGTGGTCAGAGCATCAACGCTCGCACCAAAGGGTCTTGGGCTCGATTCCTGGTCAAGAGCACACACATGGGTTGCAGGCTCCATTCCTGGCTCTTGTTGGGGTGTAGCTCTTGTCAGGGTGCATGTGGGAGGCAACCAATTGATGTGTCTCTTTCACATCAATGTTGCTTTCTTCCTCCTCCTCCTCCTATTCCTCCTCCTCCTCCTCCTCCCCCCACTCCCTCCCTTCCATTCTCTCTAAAAAGATTGGTGGCGGGGGGGAAAGAAAGGGGGAAAAAAAGATTTAAAAAAAGACAAAGATTGGTGGAAAAAATATCTTTGGGTGAGGATTTAAAAAAAAATCAGTATTTATGTAATCAACTCATTGGTTTAAAGCAGTGTTTAAGAAGGAAGGAATCATGGACTCATCTGAAAATCAGATGAAAGAAGCAATAATCAATTTTACATATACAACCTAGTTGGGAAATAAGAGGTCTGATCAAGGCCACAAAAATACATCCATGCATCATCCCATAAAGGTTAAAAACAAGATTCCAAAGAAATTCAGTGATAACATCAGGGCAGTAGCAACCCAGCTGCTGGTTCTACCATACTGTTTTCAATCTGCATGAAGTCCCTATTGTCCTCACCATATTGTCCCAAATTTTTCCAGAGCCTCCACAAGGTCCGCTTCCACCACAGATTCACAGAGTCCTCGAACATGGACAACGGGTGAAACAGAAACTTTATGATGACTTCCACCTGCCTCCTAGCAAGAGAAAATAATTTGTAATTAAAAACTTAAAAAAACCAAATTATATCTCTTAGTACATTCAACTTTGTCTTAAAAAACAAACATTTTTTTTAAAAAGTTGCAGTGAAGCCCTAGGGGAGGGAGCATGACGGAGAGGGTCAATGGGAGGGTTTGAAAAAGGGGGACTTGTGTAATACTTTCAATAAAGACAAATTAAACACACACACACACACACACATTTGCAAAAGGACCTAAAAGTAAAATCACCAACGAAATGTCTGGCATGAATATTTTTATTTCTTAAAAGGGAACAGTCTTTCTCAATAAGAAGTAAAAATAAGTTATTTAGTAACCTACTTCAACTTCAAGAAACTCTCAGAAAAAAACTTCAGCAGATAACACAGAGAATGCTAAGACTGAAAATATTTTATATTCATAATTTCATAATTTTACCCCATAAAATCAAATTCTCAAGTAGTCCAAATGAACAAAAAGTCCCAATTTAAAACTTTTCTTTAATATAAAGATTATATACTTTATTTTTTCTGTAATATAGATTTATATAATCTTTTGTCCTTATTTTTAATTGGTTACCTAATCCCACTACAACTTGAAGTTGCTCAGCAGTACACGTGACAACTTAAGTTTATACAAAGTACCATCTTTGTTGAACAAGGAGTTCTCAATCACCAGCCTTCGGGGCTTCTATGGAATACTCTGCATCTTTTAGTATGCCCAGCAGGAAGTTTTAAAATGTAAGTATATGGTCTTAAAACTTATTTTAAAAGGGACTATGTAAGAGGGTTATTTTTAAAATTAAAATAGTTCTCTCATTTACTTATTCAAGTTTTATTAAGACAAAGATTTATATTTACAGGTAGCCGCTGGGCACCTCTCTTGCATCACTTCAGAAATTATTTCCATGTACAATTCACTCATATATATACAGGTATACATGGATATATAGTACAGAAACAGCCCAAAAATCTATTAAATGAAAGGTTTCTTTGTCCTCCAAACAGACTAATCTAAAAGCACTATAAAACTCATGAATCATTTAAAGAAAATTAGATCTCTTTATGGCTATTTTCAAAGACTTGCCAATTTTTTTCATTATAAAGACTAGAAAAATAGACTTATGCCCTGCCAATCAAATATTATGTCAGAGTTTAAAAAAAAAACTGATTTAAATATGTAAAGTAACCATGGGACAATACTATATGATTGGTACAGCCAACAAACAATTTCAGTCCTTTGCAAATATTAATTCAATCCTTGAAATTGCTTTTGAATTGCTTAGTTTAGTCTTTTCTATGCTTACACGGATATTCATTACGTCACTAAATTTAAAACAAATCATTCTGATTGTTCCCTATGTAAACCAACACTCTTTTAGCAACCTTAACAAATGAAACCCTGCCTACGGGATATTCAACAATCAAATGTGCATTATCATCATATTAAGCTCTTAAATATAATTGGACAACAATAATGCAAAAATAGAGCTCTAAATAAAAACCTAAAAACCTGAATTTAGACACACATTTAAAGTAGAAATAACAAGTTTTACTCTAAAAATAATTAGACAATAATAAAGTGCAAGAAATAAGATAGTCATATCTCCATTGATCTTTAGATATCAGCTGGCAAAGGTTAAAATGCAAAAATATATCTATATTGTCCTGGACTCTTCAAAAAGTTAGTACCAAAAAAACAGTAGATTTCAGACTAAGGCTGAAGAGAGACAACAACCAAATGCAATAAGTGAGCCTTCATTTTATAACAGATAAAAACTGCTACAAAGACATCTCAGGGACAACTAGAGAATTTAAATAGGATATTAGGTTATATAATGGAATTACTTTCTTAGATACCATAATAATGGTAATAGTTTAGGAAAGAATACCTCTATTCTTAGGAATAGTTGGTATACTTAAGGATAATTGTGATGTCTGTAATTTACTTTCAAATAGTTTAGTGAAAAAAGGTATATATAGAGATATAGAGATTAAAATCCCAAGTAACACAATGTTAAAAATGGCATATTAATTGAACATTTTATATGATAAAAAGTTGGGAAAGTATTTCATTATATAATATTTAAGCTCTACAAAAGGGTACGAAGAACAATATAACTTACCACCCAGTCTAATAAATGAAACTACAGATCAGTTGAACACATCTCTCCTCTCACCTCCCTTCCCATCATGGATAACCACTATCTTGCTTATAGTGCTGAAGAACATGATTTTTTTCAAACTGGTCTTTTCACAAAGAAATGGATTATAGCACCAATTTAAGAATCCCTCAAAAGACCTGACTTTAATATATTATTGCTTACTTTTATTTCCCAAATGAGACAGACTGAAACTCAAGTCATTCTATAGAAGCTGGAAAATATTGAATGCTATCAATATGGTATTTAGGAGGAGATATGATTAACTCATAATTATCTCAACCTCAAGACAAAAAAGGTTTCCCAACCCCTTGTATTTCCTTTATTCCCACTCAATGAATTTGCCATTCCTTGATATTTCTCTATCTTTAAATTATGTCTCCTTTTCTTTTTTTTTTTTTTAGGCATCTCTTTTTTTTAAAAAATATATTTTATTGATTTTTCACAGAGAGGAAGGGAGAGAGATAGAGAGTTAGAAACATTGATGAGAGAGAAACATCGACCAGCTGCCTCCTGCACATCTCCCGCTGGGGATGTGCCCGCAACCCAGGTACATGCCCTTGACCGGAATCGAACCTGGGACCTTTCAGTCCGCAGGCTGATGCTCTATCCACTGAGCCAAACCGGTTTCGGCTCCTTTTCTTGAATTTTAAAATTTCTCATCCTTTCTGTAGTTTATTTTAAAAGAAAAAAAAAACCTAGGGTTGTTTCCAAATATAAAACTGACATATTAAAGATATCTTTTCGCCCTGACCGGTTTGGCTCAGTGGATAGAGCGTCAGCCTGAGGACTCAAGGGTCCCAGGTTCAATTGTCAAGGACATGTACCTTGGTTGCGGGCACATCTCCAGTAGAGGGTGTGCAGGAGGCAGCTGATCAATGTTTCTAACTCTCTATCCTTCTCCCCTCCTCCCTGTAAAAAATCAATAAAATATATATATTTTTTTAAAGTTATCTTTTCAAACTATATTTTCACACCCCTATCTCTCCTCCACCCCAAAATACTTTACTAAATCAGTATTTTCTTGGGCAAGAGGCAAAGCCCTGGAACCACTGCTGCCACCACCAGGTGGGGTCTTGGTCCACCCTGCCCATTTGCTGAGGCCACAGCCAGGGCAGCTTTGCCAAGGGAGGGCAGAGGGAGATGCGAGCACTTGCCCGAAGCAGAGCCAGACCTGCATGGTGCACCACACTGGGATGCTTGAAGATGGAAAGAAATCTGATTTCTCCCAGGGCAGAAACAAGCCCTTTAAGTTTATGCTAGGCAAGGAGGAGGGGATCCGAGGCTGGGAAGAAGGGGTTGCCCAGATGAGCGTGGGTCAGAGAGCCAAACTGACTACCTCCCCAGGCTATGCCCACGGTGCTTCTGGGTACCCAGACATCATCCCATCAAATGCCACTTAGGTCTTTGCCAGGGGTAAACTGGGTCAACTATGGAGGCATTATTCGATCCCCACTGCAGGCTATAGACCAGTCTCGTCATAAGCATATCAAACTCCCTGTCCCTCAAAGGCTATCAAGGACAAACTTTAGTAACACCAACTTAAGTGCTAATTTTGACAAGTGGAGGTTGAAGACCAAGTTCTATTAAATAATAGAGATGGGAAGCTTCCACGTAAGAGGAATAAACAGGACGCATTAACATCTCTTCATACAGAGCAGCAGCAATTTAACTGTAAATTCACAAAGGCCAGGCACAAGGTCCTCACGCTTTTTGTTTTCCCAACATCCCTATGCACAACATTTGGTCAGGAGCCACTCAACTGTCTCTTCCGGCCTATGAGAGAATTAAGAAAGACCAACTTCAAATTCAGTAATTCATCCCCCAACCAGACACATGGACCCACTGCCAAGTGATTATCTAGCCTCTCCTTAAACACCTTAAATCACAGGAAACACACTACCTAGAGAGACAACCCCTATACTTCAGAAAATTCTTCATAATATTGCATCCATTACTGTCTCCCTGTAGTGTCCTATCCAAAATGGCTTCTGGAGTCAGGTCAGCTTTTGAATCTTTGGACACTTATTGGCTCAGTGACCTGAGCCTAGTTACTTAATTTTTCTGTTTGACTTAAAAAAAAAAGAACAGTATCCTCACCATGTAAGATGTTGACACTCCTACCCTTATTTATATTTCCCTCTTCTACATGAGAGCCTTCAATTACTTATAATGGTTAAATCACACCGCTAAGCCCTTCAGGATAAATGTCTTCTATCATTCCTCTTATGATGTGATTTTTTAAAAATATATTTTTATTTTATTTCTGAGAGGAGAGGAGGAGGAGAGATAGAAACATCAATGAGAATCCTTGATCAGCTGCCTCCTGCTGGGATGGAGCCCACAACGCTGGGCATGTGCCCTCACTGGGAATCGAAGTGACCTCCTGGTTCGTAGGTTGATGCTAACCACTGAGCAATGCTGGACAGGGCTTAAGATGTGATTTTTAAGTGCCCTCTCCATTCTGGCAATCTTTCTCTGGATACTTAAGAATTTATCAATGTAATATCAAGAAAGGAGTACAGCATTTCCAGATATTCAAGATCATCCCTTCTTTGACTTTAAAGACTTTACATACCGTATTTGCCGGCGTATAAGACGATTTTTTGGCCCTGGAAAATATGCCTCCAAGTGGGGGGTCGTCTTATACGCCGGGTACACTTCAGACAGACTGCCCATAGTGCTTGCCCCGTGCCATAGTGGCCTCCCGATGCCCGCCCACTTCATTCCACATACCGTTCAGGCATCAGCAGCGCTGCTGGGTGTATGCTCGGCTGTTATGCGATTTTGCTGTTATGCGATTTTACCACACTCGCAAAATCGCACACAGCCGACCATACACCCAGTATGATAGCGCAAAATC